GCTCCCCAAACCTGCTCCACAAAGCTGCTCCCCAAAGCTGCCCCCCAATGCGGTTCCCCGCAGCTGCTTCCCAAAGCTGTTCCCCAAAGCATCGCCGAAAAGCGGTTGCCCCAAAGCTGCTATGCTTCAAACCTATTCCCCAAAGCAGCTCCCCAAAGCAGCTCCCCAAAGCTATTCTCCAAAGCGGCTCCCGAAAGCTGCTGCTTGAAGCTGCCGCGCAAAGCTGCTCCTCAAAGCTGCTGCTGCTCCCCAAAGCTGCTCCCCAAAGCTGCTCCCCAAACCTGCTCCACAAAGTTGTTCCCCAAAGCCGCTCTTCAAAATTATTATCGAAAGCTGCTCCGAACAGCTGCTCTTCCAAGCTGCTAAAGCTTCCGAAAGCTGCTTCCCGGTGTTGCTTTCTAAAGCTACTCCCCAAAGCTGCCGTTCTTCAAAGCAACTATTCTTCAATTCTGCCGCAAAGCCGCAGAGTTGCTCCCCACAGTTGCTCCCCAAAGCTGTTCTCCAAAGTTGCTACCGAAAGCCGCGTCCCAAAGAAGCGCTCCAAAACAGCGCGCACAGGCTAAGGAAGCAAGCACAGCTGTGCGGTAGAAGGCGGGCGCAGCAACCGGCCATTCTCGCAGAGGTACGTGTTAGAAAGAGCACAGAGACAATTGCGCAGAAGCTAGGCAAGCAAGGGCAATAGCTTGCAGGGGGCCGGGGATCGACCGTGCTGCATTTGCCCAGTGGTACACTGATTGGAAAGAAGAGAAAAATTCCCAAAAAACGATCGCTTTTTTGGGAAACGCAAAACGATTCGACCTCCGCGCAGGGGGCTCAGGATGTACAGGCTAAGTTGGTATTCACACAGACTTAAAATGTCTTCGTGGAAGTCCCAAAAATTGCGGCAGATTTTTGAGAAATTTTGGCTCGGGAAACTACGCGCGCGCTCTGTACAGCCAAATCGTAATATTAGTAGTAAATAGTAGTAATATTCATTAAACCTATCGAATAAAATTATTAAATTACATTTCGTTTAGTAAACCTTATAGAATAAAAAGTGTTTCATTTTTAAAATTCCAGTTCGTTTCAATAATTTCGATACTTTTCCTTATTTCAAAATATCCTCTTCGCTTGCAAAAATTACACATACAAATATAGGTGCGAGTCAAAAATCGGGTATGGATCGCTCCGCGGTGATCCATACTATGGATCGGGAGCTCTTACGTAAGGTGCCTGATCCGTACCCTTTCCAAAGGGCTCACCATAGCAAACAAACTGCGCTGATACTCCTACTTGCTATTACTTCTCCTCCTGCTACTGTTGCTGCTAAAACTGATACCGCTGCTACTGGAAAGAACAGAAGCAAAAAAAACTCGGCGCCAGCAGCAGTAGTGGTAAAAACAGAAGCAGAAGTAGCAATGGGAATAGCAGTGGGAGTAGTAGCAGTCGTCGTTGTCGTCGTCGCAGTAGTAGAAGTAGAAGAATAGAAGTAGAAGTAGAAGAAGAAGTAGAGGTAGAAGTAGGGGTAGGGGTAGAAGTAGAAGTAGTAGAAATAGAAGTAGAAGAAGAAGTACTAGTAGCAGCAGAAGAAGTAGTTGTTGTTGTAGCAGTAGCAGTAGCAGTAGCAGCAGCAGCAGCAACAGTAGCGGAAGAGCAGCAGCTGCTGTAGTAGTGGTAGTGGTAGTGCTAGTGCTAGTGGTAGTGGTAGTGGTAGCGGTAGCGGTAGCGGTAGCGGTCGCACTCGCGCTCGCGCTCGTGCTCGTGCTAGTAGTAGTGTTGGTAGTGGTAGTGGTAGTGGTAGTGGTAGTGGTAGTGGTAGCGGTAGTGGTAGTGGTAGTGGTAGTAGTGGTAGTGGTAGTCGTAGTAGTAGTAGTAGTAGTAGCAGTAGCAGTAGCAGCAGCAGCAGCAATAATAGCAGTAGTAGCAGTAGTAGCAGTAGTAGCAGTAGTAGCAGTAGCAGCAGTAGTAGCAGTAGTAGCAGTAGTAGTAGCGGTAGCAGTAGCAGTAGCAGTAGCAGTAGCAGTACAGTAGCAGTAGCAGTAGCAGTAGTAGTAGAAGAAGAAGAAGAATCGGCTTTTATATTGGCATTTGCTGTGACGTGGCTTCATGATGAAATGTCCATGTGCTATAATAAAATGTCCATGTCGGCTTCAAAAATTTTATTGTTGGCGTTGTTGGCATTGTTGGCATTGTTGGCGTTGTTGGCGTTGTTGGCGTTGTTGGCGTTGTTGGCGTTGTTGGCGTTGTTGGCGTTGTTGGCGTTGTTGGCGTTGTTGGCGTTGTTGTTGTTGTTGTTGTTGTTGTTGTTGGCGTTGTTGTTGTTGTTGTTGTTGTTGTTGTTGTTGTTGTTGTTGACGTCGCTGCATTGTTTTCTCAGTCTGGTAGTTGCCAAAAATCATCAAATAGGTTGCGTGTTCACGTTTTGTGGAGACGCTCCGAGCAAACAACACCGTAAATACCGATGTGTTTTGCGCCTTACCATGTTTTTTGCCTGTGGTAGCAAAAATCACCCCATTTACCGTGTTTTTTGGCCAGCGCCCAGCAAAAACACTGATATTTATACAGTTTTCAGCATGTTGCAAGAAATTGTGTTTCCATGCCAAAGGCACAAAAACACTGTAAATTACAATGTTTTGGCTCTTGGCACACACCAAAAAACGGTAAAAGTCCACTGAAAAGTGCCCAAACTGGACCTTCCAAACCTTACTTAGCAGCAAGCCCGATTTTATATGTGTTACGCGGACCAAAAACGTGAAAAGACCCCCAGAGTGAAGGATTTTGGGAAGGGTCGGCGGCAGGGGGTGCAGCCGATCTGCAATGCTGCAGCGACTTGCAGAGTCCCCTACTACGGCGAGGGCATCGCCGGATTATACGTATCCGTATTATGTAGGAGGTTCAGCCAGGCGGCCACAAGGTTTGATGTCCATGAATATGATTGTAAGGTTCCAAGGTTCTGGAATGGATCGGATGAGCGACGATTCGACCAAGCGTCTTCCAAACGTGCGATTCCAAACGCGCGATGGAAGAATCAGCATGCAAACACATTGGCGATTGGAAGAAATGCCCAAGATGTTCATTCTCAAAGAAAAATAAGTCAAGAGAAAAAGTAAACAGCGGGCATCCGCCGAAAGATCGAAGCTGTAGACCACTTATGAAGAAACCAAAAGGAAAATAGTAAAGGCCAAACAAGTAGCGTATGTTTGGGATTGTCGGGAAAAAATGATGGTTGTTTTAGCGCGCGGACTTCGAAACCGTAATATCACGGCAAGACCCTGAGGTTTGCCCGGACTCGCAACGAGCGTCCGGGCAAGCCAAGATGACGATGACGATGACGATGACGATGACGATGACGATGACGATGACGCTGACGCTGACGCTGACGATGACGATGACGATGACGCTGACGCTGACGCTGACGCTGACGCTGACGCTGACGATGACGATGACGATGACGATGACGATGACGATGACGATGACGATGACGATGACGATGACGATGATGATGATGATGATGATGATGATGATGATGATACTGATACTGATACTGATACTGATTTTGATTTTGATATCTTCTTGAAACCCTATAAGAAACCCTAATGACTGTATGGTTAAATGTTCCTTGGGGTCGGGGGATTTTGATATCTTCTTGAAACCCTATAAGAAACCCTAATGACTGTATGATTAATTGTGATATGTAGAAGCAACATGTTCTGGTTATATGATATGTAGAAGCAACATGTTCTGGTTAAGACCCTAGCAACAAAATTGAACATAAAATCCTTCCCGTTGTTTGACGTCGTACAGAATTCCCTGGTATTTACGCTATTCTGGGCTTGGGCAAACCTCGTGGTCTGTGTGTAATATTCGAACAATTGTCTATCAAATACCTTAGTTTTGCTGGCCCACCTTATCTTGGGATGTTGATATTCATATGTTTGCTTATTTTCAATCCTTCAAGATAATTATTGTGTTTTTTGTTTATTTTGCGATATCTTTGTTCTTGAATCATTTTGATGTTCCGGATTTGAAAATTTCGAAAATTGATTGGGGAAAATCCAGAACCAGCGAAAAAGATCATTTCTTGATGGCCCGCATCATGCCGTAGACCATGAGCCCGTCAACCATGGATTTGTGGTACTTCTCCAGGGTGTACACCTCGCCAAGCAGCTGCAGCATTTCGTTCCCATGAGACATTGTTGATTCAGTGATTTCTGAGAAGTACTCGGGTTTGTCTGAAAATAGGGTACCCAAAAATGTCTGGTCATGAATTTCCCCTATTGAACACAATTGAAAATCTAGGAAAACTCATCTATTGTGGCAGTGGCAGTGGCCCCCATCAGACTCCAATCGAACCTCGCGGAGGAAACCGAGAAATGCCGCTGGTTTCCTGGCAAGAATCCGCTCGCGTCGCGAACTGACAAGAAATTGCCCTGAGCTGCCCAGCCTCAGGGTCACCTTGATCCAGTACCAAGGGGACCAAACACCTACCTCAGTGATTCGCATGTGACAATGCTAGGCTACTAGGGAAGTCAGTAAAGTTCCAAGCTTTTGACATCTTTTGACCGTTAGATTCACACCCTCTAATTGTTTTTGGCATTTCTTGGATAATTTGAAACAAGCCGGCACCCTTTGCAGCCTACCGAATTCCAATTCACCGATGGTTGATTTACAATTTACAGTGGCCACTAATGTTTTCACAAGAGTAAACGGCGTGAAGCCTGAGTCTCTCACCCAAACGGAATGCCGCCATGATGGCAAGGTCTGATCTGTCCAGTCAGCAGTCTCAACCTCAGCTTGGCTTTGAATCCACCAGAGTGTGCCCCGGGGGGGTTCGAACTGTTCGATTCGAGTTCGAACTGCCATCCTAGGTGTGCCTCGAGGGGAGGGGGGGGGTTCGAGTTCGAGTTCGAGTTCGAGGGTTCGAGTTAACCCGGGGGGGTTCGAACTGTTCGATACCAGTTTGAACTGGCTTCGTACGTCTGCTTCGGAGGGGATGGGGGGGGGGGAAGTTCGAGTTCGAGTTCGAGTTCGGGAGGATTTTTTTTTTTGGCGGGGGGGGGGGGTGGAGTTCGAGTTCGAGTTCGAGTTCGAGTTCGGGGTTCGAACTGTCATCGTTCGAGGGAGGGGGGGGAAGGGTTCGAGTCGAGGGCGGGAGATTTGCTTTTCGTTGAGCGGGGTGGGGGGAGTTCGAGTTCGAGTTCGAGGGTTCGAAATCCTTCCAGGGAGGGGGGGAGTTCGAGTTCGAGTTCGAGGGTTCGAACTGTCATCGTTCGAGGGGGGGGGGGGGAGTTCGAGTTCGAGTTCTAGGTCGGGAGTTTTTTGTTTTTTTTTGGCGGGGGGGTGGAGTTCGAGTTCGAGTTCGAGTTCGAGGGTTCGAACTGTCATCGTTCGAGGGGAGGGGGGGGGAGGAGTTCGAGTTCGAGTTCGAGTTCTAGGTCGGGGACGCGGAGGTTGAGTTTGAGTTCGAGTTCGATTGCGAGGGTTCGAACTGTCATCGTGGGAGGGCCCCGGAGGGGATTGGGGGGGGGGGAGTTCGAGTTCGAGTTCGAGGGTTCGAATTGTTATCTTTCAAGGGGAGGGGGGGAGTTCGAGTTCGAGTTCGAGTTCGAGGGTTCGAACTGTCATCGTTCGAGGGGAGGGGAGGGGGGGGGAGGAGTTCGAGTTCGAGTTCGAGTTCTAGGTCGGGGACGCGGAGGTTGAGTTTGAGTTCGAGTTCGATTGCGAGGGTTCGAACTGTCATCGTGGGAGGGCCCCGGAGGGGATTGGGGGTGAGAGGTTCTTTTTTTGGCGTGCAGGAGAGGGGGGGGGGCTGCGAGTTCGAGTTTGGTTCCAAGGTTGGGATCCGAGATCTTGGCGGGGGGAGGGGCGGAGGAGTTCGAGTTCGAGTTCGAGTTCGAGGGTTCGAGTTAACCCGGGGGGGTTCTCAACCCCCGCTAAAGTCCATGAAACTCGCCCCGGCTCGTGTAGGCGAACCGCTTGTATGCTTGATTCGGCCCCCCTTCTTAGCTTCTCTCATTCCTTCTCGTCATGAGCAACGTTTATTTGAGTTCACCTTACTCATCTTTTTTTTTTGATCTTTGTCAAGATGCATGGAGACTAGCTTCGACGTGCGTCTTTCTTGGTACGTACTGCGGGGCTTCTTGCTTGGTACGCATTGTACCCCGCCTACCCGCTTGTATGTTCTACCCGGCGCCCCTTGCTACCTACTCCTATTCCTTTTGCTTTTTCCATCAGCTTCAAGGATTTGTTTTCCTATGTGCTTCTTTCTTGGTGCTTCTTGCTTGCTACGCATTGCGGGGGGAGGCGCTGCGCCCTCCCCCCTGCACCCCCCACCCGCTTGTATTTCTAACCGACGCCCCTTGCGACCTACTCCTATTCCTTTGGCTTTTTCCATTATCATCATCAACGATGTGGGTGTTGCTTGCTTCGTACGTCTGTCATGCTACGCATTGCAGGGGGGAGGGCACAGTTCGACCGGCTTTCATGTTGTAACCGGCGCCGCTTGATACCTACTCCTATTCCTTTGGCTTTGTCCATCAGCATCAATGATTTGGGTTCCTATGTGCTTCTTTATTGTTCCGCATCCCTGGCCCCTGCACCCGCCCACTCGCTCATATTTCGTAAGCGACGCCCCTTGCTACCTACTCCTATTCCTTTTGCTTTGTCCATCAGCATCAATGATTTGGGTTCCTATGTGCTTCTTTATTGTTCCGCATCCCTGGCCCCTGCACCCTCCCACTCGCTCATATTTCGTAAGCGACGCCCCTTGCTACCTACTCCTATTCCTTCTGCTTTTTCCATCAGCAGCAACGATTTGGGTTCCTCTTTTTGTTTTCTTGGTCCGCACGGCAGCATTTTGTAACCGGCGCCTCTTGCTCCCTACTCCTATTCCCTTTCCTTGTTCCATCAACATTAGTGATTTGGGTTCCTATGTGCTTCGTTCTTTGTGCTTTTTTCTCGGTACGGCAGCCCTCCCCCCTGCAACCCCCCTACCCGCTTGTATGTTTGATTCGGTTCCCCTTCTTATAGCTTCTCTCAGTCCGTTTTGTCATGAGCATCGTGTATTTGAGTTCATCTTACTCAGCTTATTGTTCTTGATCTTTATAAATATGCATGGAGACTAGCTTCGACGTGCTTCTTTCTTGGTACGCACTGCGCCCCTCTGATAGCCAAGTAAAAAAATTATTTTCTGGATGCTTGCGTTGGTAACATGCCATATCTCCCCCCCTCAATCTGATACGGAAAAAAATTAATTCCTGGCACCTGGCTTCCCGGCTGACAGCTCGCAGTCTTTCAGAGCTTGACCGTGAATGCATACTCGGAAAGGTTTTTTTTTTCCCTCCGGGGGGGGGGAGTTCGAGTTCGAGTTCGACGCGGCCGCCGCCAGGTCAAAATCGAGTTCGAACTGCTCTGGGGCGAGTTCGAACGCGAGTTCGAACTGTGTCACCGCCAGTTCGAACTCGAGTTCGAGCATGTGGACCGCGAGTCCGGACTCAGAAAGCTTGATTTTTTTTTCCGGGGGGGGGGTTCGAGTTCGAGTTCGAGTTCGAGCGGGGCTCACTATGGAATCCACTGGATCTACCTGTAATCTGAATGCCGAATATTGAGCCCCAAATCACCAGCAACTGTCCCAGCTGTGCAACCCCAAAGAAAAGGGAAAAAGGGAAGCTAAAGCTCTGGACTCTGGACCTACTGCCGTGCGATCCAGTCCGTGAAAGGGTCAAACATTTCAGGATTTACGCTATGCTCAACAGCTTGCAAGACTTCAAGGCCGCACCTGTTCCAGAAGCCCAGTACCATCCAGATACTCCTGTCAGATCAGCAAATTCGCGGTTGTCTGTCAATGGCAGGTTCCCAACGTGAACACAGAAGGCTTCATTTCAAACTTGCCCGGGCACCACCGAAATCTATCCCGGCTTCAAACATGTCCTTGTACTTGCCAAGCGATATGAAAAAGGGGTGGGACCACTCCTACATCGCAGTGATTCGCATCCAAACTGGAATAAGAGGTCTGCTGTCCACTGCAGCTTCTCTTTCGTGATGTTTGTCTCATGGCGACTGCATAGATTTCTTGCATCAAATCCAAAAGGCATCAGGCAGTCCGCATACAAGAAGTTCAATGTCTTCCGCTCTTCAGCAGTAAAGATGGGAACCTTGCAGTTTCTTTTGTAACAATGCCATTGTTGCTGCTGAAGAATCTGCTCAAAGTGCAACTTATTTGCGCTTGGAGTGGCAGCGCCCGTATCGTCAAAATTCTTTGAGAAGACTGGGTTTACCTGATAGGGCACCTCAAAATCCACGAGTTCATAGTTAACTTAGTTGATCATTCATATTTTTGTTGTCCTGCTTGAAATAACCCATAAACCCCATTTTCGGACACACCCAAGTCATTGTGGTTGTAGATCCCATGACATCCCGAGTATGGAACCGGTGGAAGCCCTATGAAAATCAACGGCTCTGGGATCAGCGCTGGATCTCGTTCACACCAGGTTGCTACGACCATGTTTCCTCCAAAGTTCGATGGCAGCAACAAAAAATGTGACATAGCTTCTTCACAGTATATACAGTACATTTACATCATGAATATGTCTGATTATGTCTGTACACATATTAAGTGGGTGCGTCTGAAAACATGATATACCCCCACAGTGGCTTTTTAAGTGGGAAACATACTAAATTATTCGCAATTATTAGCCATCAGACTTTGGGACGCTATTTCAAGACAAACCAATATGTGTTTATATATATATATATTATTATTATATTATAATATATATATATATGTATACAACTGACAAATTGCACACATATACAAAATGAGTGACTAGTGTATACTAGTGTCACCAGAACTTACCAAGTGCTTCTGCAAACCAAAAGTGCGCAAATCAAAACAGCGTTCCCACCTTTGGGCTTCAAGACACGTGACATCTCCTCCACATACCTGCACCATGTGTTTCCCAGAGGATTAAGCTATAAATCAATTAATCAATGCAGCTTCAGGTGCGCCTTTTCTTGTCAGGCATGTGCTCACCGGACTCACAGCCCCACACGAGATCGAAGGTGTTGCTTTCGAACCTTGCTTTCAACACATTTCAACACTTATCAAGATCAACTCTTTCGCATTGAAAAAAGTCTATGAAAACCATTGAAAACCCTTCAATTCCAAGGATCCATATGGCTTTGACTGAAAATTGTACCCCAAAAATGGCCGCGAAAATAGGGATAAATAGGGAAAATGAATGATAACCATTGATAACCAAGGTTTTTGAATGCTTTTCCTCTAAGTCTTCAGAGGTCTCCGATCTCAGCACCCTGCTCCATGTTGAGAGCATCCATCACCTGGAAGCGGACGTTCTTCAAGCCAGCCTCCTCTGCCAAGCGACCAGCTCGTTGAGCCTGCCAGAAAAATGGGGGAAAGAACCGATGATATCCGATGATCATCGGAATTCAACTACCAACACTGGGAATGAAAGGCGTTTCTTCACACACAAAATCAGCCTTTACATTTACAACATTTTGCATCATTTTGCACCATCGCAGTGGAACCAAACTCCGCCTGCTCCGGTGAGAGTGTGATGCCTACAACCTCTGCATCAGGGAATCGCTTGGCGAGAATCCTGGGACTCCAGTGAAAGTTCAATGCTTGACTGGTTTCAGGTTAATGCCTTTCAACTTCAGATCTGATTGACGTGTGTGTGTGTGTAGCTTCACAACAAGACATCACACCTCTCCTTGACGTGCCACCAATTCCACACCCTTAATGACATGAAACTACAGAACTCGCTGAGCTATGAAAGGTCGTTGCTCGCTTCGGGGCTCCGCAACAGCTTCAGAGACATGAACAAATGTAATGCAACAAATCCAAAGGCCCTGGCCAACATCGAGGATCTTCTTGGGATCTTTTGCACCTCTCCAGCAGGGATGGTTTCATCCAATTGTTAAGTGCAGCTGTGTTCTTCATATCTTGCTATGTTTCCAAGAAAGCACAAACGCTCCTCTTTTTGCATCACTAGACATCACAATCAGCACTTGCCTGTACATCATGCTATGCCAGCGTACTCACCAACTTGAACACTGCTGCAATGTCTGGGTTGTTTCTTACACGCGGAATTTGAGACTCTGCAGTATCGACCAACGTCTTTATGTCAGCAATGTGCTTGCGAGCGAGCGACATGATGCGGGCAAGTAGAGTGCCGCGCAAAGTCGCATCCTTTGTATCTTCGTAACCACGAACAATGGAGTTGAAGATAATCATAAAAAGGCGTTCATCAGCTTGAATGGCTTCGTCTAGCTGCACTTGACACTTGTCCAGGACATCCTCCTTCCCGAGCTTCTTTGCTACATGCAGATCTGTGCGTGCTACCTGCGACCGCTCGAGGCTCTTGCGCGCAACTTGCTTCACGACATTCCAATAGTTGGAATGCCCCAATTCATGTGACAGCGCATACTTTGCCACAGCTTCAGGGGATATCACTTTCCGCTGGATCAAGCTGTCCAAGGTAATCTCTAGACGCAGTCCTGACGCCTTCCAAAATTCAAAGACTGACTTCACAAGGACCTGCTCAAAACTAGCTCTGGAGTCAGCTTCCGATGGCTTTAGCTTGAGCAACACCTGCTCATTCCCATCCAGGACCTTTGCCATGTGCGTCGGAGTCTTGTGGCCGTGCTGCAGCATCACACTCATCACAAGACCAGCCACCTCCTCCAAAGCCAAAGGCTCTGCCGGTGCCTCACCGAACTCCTCAGCCTCGGCAGAAAGTTTCGGACGCTTCGAAGGTGGTTGGCCGTCACCTTGTGCCGACTCTTCAGCCGTGGCATCAGTACCATTGCCATGACAGCTTGTGGCGTTGGATTTGTCCACCGACTTCATCAACCAATCGCAGTACCGAAGGACTTTTTCTGCATTTGCATCCTTCAGCCGAATCAGATTGATGAACCTTCCAAATTGTGGCTTGGACACGACTGGCAAGCCACTAGCTGGCAAAGGCTCTGGCGGTGCATAAGCGCACATAGCTTGCGGCAGCCGAGAAAGCATGTTCTGATATTCAGACAACTGCTGCAAACAGTCTAAAGCTCGACATGCAAAATGCTTTGTTTGAGGGTTCACTGCTTCCCCAGCAAAGATCTTCCAGTCTGCCTGATAGGCTGTGTTGGCCAGGTGGCATGCAAAGATTTCGGCCAGCTGGTCTAGACATTGGTCGTCCATGTCTGCCAGCTTTCGGAACAAGGACTGAAATGCCTCGTCAATCAGTTTCACCATGGAGGTTTGCTTCTCTGCGCATGCCTCCAGGAGACGACAATAGAACAAGGGCAAAAAGCTTGGCGCAGGCAGTCGAAGCAGCTGCGAAAAGAGAGTCTCCACTGCGATGGCCTCAAAGTCTGGATGAAGGACAGGAATCCGCAAGATCTGTTTGCTGCATTCTTGAACATCTTGAGCAAACATCTCCACCACAAGGAGTATGTAGTCTTCCATTACCCATCTCTCAGCCTGCGACATTTCACCCTCATGAGGGTCTGCTGTCAGCAAACGAGCAGACATGAGGGGAACTTGGAGCTTCACCCTGCCCTGTCGAAACTGTTCTGGAGCCACAGCCAGCGAAATCTCAGGCATTCCAGGCATGCCTGAGGTTGATGGTGAAAACCCTGGCATGTGATGAACTACTTGTACAGACCAGCTTTCCTTGGAAAGCTTTTTGACTGCATGAAGCAACTCCTCCAACCTGTCCAAACTATCCTGGCTTTTGAAAATTCGGAGCGCTGGTTTCCACTTTGCATCTGTTGCTTTTCTGTGCTTCTCCCCAAGCGCAATCAATTTCTGGATTCTCTCCTTGCCCAAACCGTATGCAGCCGAACTGAAGAATGGCAACTGGGCCAATGCCGCAAAGACAGCAAAATCGCCTGCATTTGGCAATCCTTCTGACAAGCCAACTACCTGCAGAAGCAGGTCCGCCACTGCGACAACACCGAGCACTCCTGTGTTGGCAAGAAAGACCAAAAAGCGAAGCAACAGTTGCGTAGCAACGAAATGACCAGCTTGCACACACGTGCCCAAGTCTTCCATGGTCTTGTTGATCATAGCCACTGCCCACTTTGGGTGCTTCTCGGCCATTTTGGCACACCAAGCAGCGTAGATTCCCAGCTTAGTCGGCAAGCATTTTGCACAGTCAAGAACTGTTGTAGTGATTAGCTCGTTGTGAAGCTCCACATCCTCGACAGAAAGTACTGCTGCACGGATTTGTGCGACCACTTTTCTGTTTTCATCACCCAAGGTGATGATGCATCTTCGGATTCTTTCCCTATCTGCATCCTGTTTTTTCACAGCTACATCAGCCTCAATCTCCAATTGCGTCTTTCGCTTGTTGGGATTGGCTGCCTTGCTCATCCTTGGATTTCGCACTAAGAGGTGAGACGCACTTTGTCGTCCTTGCCATCAAAATTGCTGCTGCTTTCTGCAAGAGTAAATCTGAAAGCTGTGAGAGTGCCAGCGACGCTCAAATCTTGACGGGGCCTTCAATGGTAGAGATGCCTGATGATGTCTGTAAAATGTTGTGAAAATGCCTGGTTAGTTTGCATGAAATAAGAAAATACATGCATGCCCAAGATGTCCCCATGATAAGGCTTGATCAAATCGATGCTGCGACAATGTGCTTTTGGTAAAGACTTGCAAGAGGACACAAATTTGGAACTGTTGCAAAGACCATTTTACAATAACAATGTGGTGGCGTTCCCGCTGCAATTTTCCTGGGAGTCGCCAACACAAAATCGTCGAAGCGTACTGTTTGACATGTGTTCTAAACATGTCGAAGGGACGGCTGAAGTCGATCATTTCATGCACAAAGTCAATCTTGGCCTTGCATTCAGATGCAAAAACTCGGTCAGAGGAACATGGAATCTGGTCAAATACATAGAATGTTCACATGAAATCAGGAACGCTTGACACATCGCAGCGCAGCATGTCCACATCCGCGGCCTCTTTGAAGTTTTTCAGACGGCCCAAGGTCGCACGAAACAGTGCCAGGACAAAGGGATCCTGCCAAGTCACAGGGACAGCCCATTGCCACATCCATTCGTTTCAATATTGTTCATCCATCCATCCATGTTCATCCTCTGTCATATTCTGTCATATTCTACAGACGATCACCAGGTTGCTTGCAAAGTGTTTAAACATGTTTAAACTGCCACTGGAACACTGTCACATATGACGTGCCTTCTTCCTATAGCCACTTTGTGTATCCATGGGATTGTAGGAGCCTGCAGCTGAGAACATCGGGGCCACACATCAGGTAAGATCCCAATCATCCGTTGGTAAAGCAATTCAGCATGAGATGTGAATTCAACAAGTAACAGACACTTTCCGAGCCGAAACTCTTGAGAAGAATGCCCCTCGCAGGGATGGCAAGTGTTGTTTCGGAAGTTGTTTCGCTTAGGTCGGCACCCATGTGGATGTGCTCTCCCCAGTAGTGCTCCAAGACCTCATGAGATGAGTCCAGGTTGGTGGCAGCGTGCTGAGCCTGGTGAGCCCTCGCTAACGGCACTCAGATGAGAACCCCATCGCGAGCCCACTCGTCATAAGCATTCCCTACAGATGAGGAGTCATAATAGGGTCTCTTGGGCGTCTCAAACCTTGGTCCAGTCGCCGTGACAGCGGAATTTTGTCCACAACACAGGACAAAGTGACAAAGGCATTCACTTTGCCATCACCTTCTATCGTACACATCGTACACAGGTGATATGATACGGTATGATGATATGCCAATATTTATGCAATACTAGATGGAGTCCTTGTACACCAACAAAATAAAAGTGATTGACAAGAATGTTCAGCTTGTTGAAATCAAGCAGCCAATTGTAGATTCTAGATGCCAGCACCTGCCAGAGTTCATTCCAAATGGCAATTCCGCCGGAAGGGTCGTGCATGACCGATGATTGGAGAACTCACGAGGAAATCCGTTGTCCTGATACTGATACTGGATGATACTGGGACAAATGAACTGTCATCTGTTCATATCTGGGTATGTCTGAAAATGGGATATACCCCCAATTATAGCCATTTAGTAGGGATAATGATCATTAACCATTGGGTGTAGGGGTACACTATTTTCAGACAAACTCATCTGTTCAACCACTATTCCGCACCTTCAATAGACCAAGAGCAACTACACCGGCTCCGATTTGGCGCATAAGTGCCGTGGACTGAACCTCATCCAATCAGCACTCGATGACACCGGCCAAAATCCGACAACGTGGGGGTCATGTTCAACTGTTCTATTCAAACTGTAAGATTTTGGAACAGACTGACATTATCTGATCATTAATCAATATTAATCAATATTAATCAACTGATCCCTCCAACACTTGGGGCTTGGCTCGACTTCGTGCGGTCTCCTTCGAAGACCTGTCTACAAGGTGACCTGAATTTCCACGAGCGAATGAGAATCAACGCCGAAGACGATGGCGATCGATGGCGACTCAGGTCAGAACCGGCAAAGCTACCTTTTTGTCCCCCTTCGCTTAGCTGGCTTAGCTGATCGCCTCTTGCTGGAGTCCTGACAGCATTTTCTAGAGCCAGGAAATACCCCACTAAACATCACTGAACTAGCAGTAACTAGCTGCAAGTTGGGACCGTGGGACCGAAAACCCTGAGGCCATGTGTTTCATGACATCAGTCCAGCTCTGCACCCCAAGCTTACCAACCTCAGGGAAGGATCAAACTTCCCCGCTGCAAGGCTCTGAAGCCCATGATCACGATAGCATAAATCACACCAACCATACCGAGAAAATCATCCTGTGAAGTTGGGCATTGCTGGTCAGAGTCACTATCTTGTCCAATATAAACTTGTGTCTTGGATTGTATTGGGTTCATTTTGCACATATTATGTGTATACAATCGTATACAAACACAGGCTCAGGTCAAGACCGGCCACAGGAATGCGTCACCTGTGTGTGTGTGTTACTCCCAACAAGTAGTGGCAGGAGGTAGACAGAGCAAGGTTTATCATGCTAGGTCATGCTAGGTCTGAGAATGTCTGAGATATTGCGGCTATATTGTTCTATCGTTATTCTCACCACAAGCTCCACTTCGAACTTCTTCCATGAGAGACTTGAGGATTCAGAACGCGGTCCCATCCACTTGTCAAGCACCGAAGAAGCCTGCAAGGAAGTGAACGCTCCAAACGGCCACAGGCAACACAAGCCTTGGTCAAACAAACAGGTGTTTTGCTTTGGTCCCCTGCTGTACACATGTGGTTTCCTAAAATCATCCATTTTAATAGGATTGTCCATGATAAACCAACCAGTTTCGGGATCCCCCGTTTATGGAAACCCCCATGTCTGAATGTTTTTGAAATGGTGTGTCTGCGCTGGATCAGAATTGCAACCAAATTGCCAGCTACTGCGTGACGGGCGCAGCCTTCACAGCAACAACTCGCAAGGGAGAAAGACTGCTGCCATGTTCATGCATCAAGAGTCAAACATCTTGGGAATAGCACAATGTATGTATATATATATATATGTGTGTGTGTGCGTATACATCTATAATCATATATATATACAATATATGCGTATATATCTAGTCGTATTTACTCATAGATATTCAGCTAGACCCTGAAATCCTGAAACTCTGAACAGACTCCACTCGCGTCCAGCCTTGCAGCAGTCATGGCACAAATTCTAAGGCATGCACCCCACGCCTGGTTTTTTGAAGCTATGTAGGCTATGAATCCACTATGCTGAGACATGAAATTGAATGAAATTATATGTGGATTATGTCTGAAGATTAGCATTAAAATTATAATCCCTATAATGAAAGTATATGTGCCTGATGCATTATAGGTTTGGTAGAATCGGTAGAAGTCCTGCCACTGTTGCCCATGGTCAAGTGCATCTGTACGGCTGCTTGCTCCTCTGCATCATTTCTGTACAAGTAGGTTTACATGCCTGATTTTTGCATAAAGTGAGGTGGAACATTCGTCCGCGAGAGCCCTGAGCAGGCATCAATTTTTGATGGCTATGTTCCATAGCTCTTTTTCCATGCCTCCTTCATATCGCTGTGAGCCACCAGACAATCAAGTTTGGCTGGAAAACTCCGAAGGCACATCTGTCAGCACCCTGGAAAACCCTGACTGTGACCCATTGCGCTGCAGCGGAATCTTTATGGCGCGGCAAGCTGGTACCTTGGACAAAGCCAGCAACAACGACCAATGAAAGCTGCTACAACTTCATGCAACCACAGCTACATCAACTACGACTACAACCACATATTGTCACTACTGCTATGGCCGCTATGGCGGCTACTCCTTGTACTGCAACTGGTGCTTACTACTGTTGAAATCCTCCTTGCTCCTGCTCCTCGTTGCATCCATATCTGCATCAATGCAACCAAGTTGCTCAATCTTGGAGAGGTTGGTCTTTCCAATCTGCCGCGGGTCATGCGAAGCACAGCACAACAGCACCAGTGACACAGTGTGACACAGCTATCATTCCGAATGTGAGATGTTGCTTTGGCAACACTGGCACGGAAGCCATCCGGATGGATTCTCGAAGATTCTGTGCTTCGGACTTTGGAAGGAAAATATTAATCCTGGTCCTGAACATGTTGTCCTAATCTTCTCCCAGCCTCGCCAATTTGTTTCAAATCTGCTTTGAAGCTGCCGCTTTGGTTGAGTGTAAGCCGCATGAAGCCCTCCGATGCGCCACGTTGAACAGCTCTGCTTCACGTATCCCGTAGGAATCGACCAATGGGCCCCTCAACATGTCCCAATGGTCCAAATGGTTCAGTGGTGGTCTGGCTTGGTGCTTTGTTATGAGGATATGCCGTGTAGTGATCATTGCCTCAAAGGGGAATTCTGAGATTTCCAACCACCACTTAGCCACTGGTTGACATCTGGCATTCAGCACCTCCACCATCATTATGGAGGAATTTCGTGCAGCCAAAACCTGCAATTCAGGCACTGGTTCATGGGAACAGTCCTTACCGTCATTACCAGAAAATTGTCACCATGTCCGCCAAAAAAATGTACATGTGTGTTCTTCATTGTTTCTTCCCATCCTTTCACAAGTTTTCTATTGGGCAAGAAAAAAAAGATCACCAGCCAGATTCTGGACGCAAACCTTCACGTTAATATGCCAATGTTCACCATCAAAGCCAGCCTGTCCGGGCTTGAAAATGTCTGTCAACTGCACTTCCTTCAGCGAAAGAACCACCTGCCAAATGTCAATCAGCACCATCAATAAGCCATGGAGCTATAGCCTTTGTAGATATCCGCCCACAATCAAGCAAAGGAGTCTGCATATATGGTCCAGCTGCTGTGGTGAAGAAGAATGAATTTCTTGCTGCAAGTCCAGACATGTTGCTGGAGTTGACCATGAGAGTCCTCACTTACCGGAAGTCTGTGCCTGTGCAGTCTCATCTCCACAAAGCACCTATCAGGTTTTCGCAGCCGAGAGAAATTCTGACGCAATGAGAATTGGCACAGCTGGGCGCCTCGAAGAATCTGGCGTCTCTCTCGACAGCTTTGGGCTCTTCTAGAACCTATCCGACACCCGATGCAAGTCTGACAGCTTTTGTTAGGGCTGCACTCGCCACAGGTTTGCACTTACTACTACATCTGTGTATGTATGTATGTATGTATATATATGTATGTATGTATATATATATATATATTATATATGTACTTATGTAATGTATATATTATATAATTATATACATATCAAAACCATGTTCTCTTTGACTTTGATATTTGTGTGGTGAATCTCCTATCACATCACATCTCGCATTTTACAGGCTGTGCCTTGACGAGGACATTGACACCTCGCGCATCAGGGTGGAAGGTGCCCACCTTCACAAAATTTGACTTCTTCAAGCAGGCCTCACAGCACCATGGGTCCCAACATGTCGCACAGCCATCAGACTTCATTCGCAATGCAAATTGGTGGGTGGCGGTGAAACTCCTGGTTGGTTCAATAAGAAGTTTCAGGTGTTGACAGTACAAACTCATAGCAACTCAACTCATCTGCTCGGTCAACGCGGCACCTCAGCAAAGATCTGCTCTGCAGCTTGCAAAATTTCGCCTGCTGCTCTGACAACCTGCACTGTTTCAAATGGGACTACTGAATTTGGAAATGAATTGGGATCGCGGTCTGGAAGACTCATCAACTTTTTGCACCTCACAGCCACATCACACCCATCACGCCAGGACCTCTTCATCCGAAGCACTTGCTGCAAATCCTTCCTGCAAATCCTGCAGGTGAAACAAGCTGCCGCAAGCAGGCTGAGCAGACTGGTTCGCAAAAATGAAAACCAATGGTGCCTGGAAAACTTTGACCTTTCCACCTGCGGCTGCAATCTCTTCCACAACTGAGCTCAAGTACCTGCACTAGCAAAATCACTTGGAAAGGAGGTCTGTAAACCACGAAGCGAGACAAAAATCTTTAACCTGAGCACTGCTTGAGACCTGTCTCTCCATGAACGCAATAAGAAAGCTTAGTTCGCAACAAATCTAGTGGCAAACCAAGGAACTGGCATCCGGGCATCGTCAACTGAAGCTTCCTTTTTTGAATTGCCGTGCACTGAGAGTTTACCAGGCGAATTATCAACATTCGATGATCAAGGTGCCCTGTCGCGCGATCAGTGAATGCTGATGCGCCATTAATTTGGTGCAGATTTCGAGCAGGTTGCCCTGCTCGTTCAAAAAACAAAGACAAAGCGGCTTAGTGTCGTTGGAGGTGAGGTGTTTCTGGGATGTTCTTGGGGCTGTACAGTTGAGCCATTCTCGTCACGTTTTACCTTGTGACGTTCATTCATTGTGTAGTTCTGAATGTATGCAAGTACACAAGTGTGATCCACAAAAATGTTTTGGGCTTGGGACCTCATGTTAGGTCAATTCATGCTGATGCGGAGGATTCTCTGTGATAGGTTGAACATCGAAATGCATAGCAGCTCAAGTCAAGGCATGCTTTGACCCGCATGGAATTGTTGACAATTCACAATAATATATATATACATACATATACATATGTTTTATATGATTTTATCCAGTATGATTGACTGATGTTCATGAAGACTTCTTGCTGCCTGAAGCCTTGAAAGTCGCAGGTTTTGGCTTCTAGAAATGGCTCACTCGGAATTGCCAAACGCCCTGATCGCCTCGGCAAGAGCTTTCTGAAACATCCACAGAACATCCACAGAACATTGCGAATCAAACCTGCAGCTCTGTGGATCATGTCAACTGAATTCAACTGAGGTCTATGCAGTCATAGTCAATGAACTCAGCACCCTTCTCCTGGCCAACCCGAATCAGTCACAGTGTTCACAGTGTTCACGAAGCGCTTGAAGAGTGTTTCAAATCTGAAACTCTGCTTGTTTGAAATCTCCCACCAGCCTCGGTCATCGCCTTGACACGAATCCTGTACTTTTCACGGGCTCTCCTTAGTGATCTTAGTGAACCGTCGGTCTTCAATGTCTACAAAATAGCGCCTTGGTTCTATGGTCATTCTGAGTCCTTCTCTTCACTCTACAGTTGAAGTGCTCTCGTCGACTTGGCACTGCTTTATGGTTCACAGCACAGTCGACGGTTGAGTCGACGGTTGAGTCATGGTTTCTTTGCAGCTCAAGTCCAAGTTTTCGCCCAGTGTCTCATCCTTGAAGATTTGGCTCTTTGGATGACAGCCGTACCTGGCTGTCATCAAGCACCATGGCACCATGGGTTGAAACCAACGGCCTTTCTGGGCGCACAATTTGATGGTGGAGGGCTTGTTCAGGCCTGAACCCACTGGAGGCTTCACCTCATGAGTTCACTGGCTCGGTATAACTGCTATTATCATGCCATGATCACTTCTGTATGTTTTAGTGGTGTGTCCTAGGGGCAAACGCGGCACCCTTTTGCGCACCTGAGCCTAGCTCAAGGCCTGCGAAGACCCAAGGTTAGATTCCAACACTCCACAGTGAGATTGTCAGCCTCCCAAAATTCTGCAGGGTTGATTGTCAATCCTGCGAGGAAGGGACACTTCCATGCGATTTCATTCGGTGAGCGCCTTGTCGCCCAGCTGCGAGCTCGTCCTCCTCTTTCTGGATCACCATCGCCTGTTGACATAGTAGATCATATAGAGGTTGCATATGAGCCTGTTGTGGCAGCTTGGTGAGGGCGTCACTCGGATTGAAATTGTGCGGAATCCACCGTAGTCTGGCCTTCAACTTCGCGAGACTTTCTTGGATGATGGCTGACTCCAAGGCTGCTCGGTCATCTTCTCCCTGAAATTGGCGTTCTGGGCTCGAGGTCGAATCGAAGACACTCTTGGCATCGATCAGGGCCACCGTCAGCGGGTCCACAAACTTCGGATCCTCAGAAGCGATCACCGTTGGTGGTCCACGAAGACCCATTTCGATCTCGATGTCGTTGGTGATGCTCTTCGGGTCGAACCTCGAAAACTGGAAACTCTGGAAGGTGGCAACTTGCTTCTCCATCGCTGCCAACGCTGTTGAAAGCGAAATGCTCTCACAGAGCGTGGTGCTTCCCGCCTTACGGCGCAACTTCTTTGATCGCCATGCGATCAAACTCACAGGGGCTTTCTCACCACGGTTAAGTTGCGGCGTGGTGATACCCTGGATCCATCCATGCTGGGGCTTTGTCTTCCCAGTCGGATCGAAGGAAGAGTCCGCGATGAGCAGGTGCCGGATCTGGTCCTCCGCAATGGAAAAGATTCGAATGGTCACCTTGCGGCTCTTTAGAAGCTCCACGACCTGGTTGCACTCGAAGAGGTTCTTCATAGTGGGCTCGGGGAAGCATCCAGATAAAATCGAAGCACTTGCGGAGCCGTCAGGGCGTCCTTCACGTGCCGACCAGTTGATGGCTGCTATCGTTCCCCTGAGCTGAGAGATCTCGTCCTCATTGAGCTTGATGTTGGCTGCGTCCTTCTTCAAGACCTTGCGGTGAACCTTAATGGCGTGAAGCCTGTTGGCCACATAGTCGTCCATGCTGTAGGTGAAGCTGAAATCAGGCAGTTGCTTGATTCGCCTTCCAGCGTATCCACTTCCACCGCCATTCTCGGTCTCCTGCAAGTTGACGATCTTCCCAAACTTCAGTCTCTTCTCGAGCCACTCCATCTTCTTTCGGTGCTCCTCATCGCCCGCTTCCAACAGGTCGTCGACCTCCAGGACGATGAATCCTCTGGTTTTAACTGGAGCATCGGAGTTCTTCGGATCAAGGGGCCCATCCAAGGTCAGAATGCACCTGTCGTAGACGCACACTCGGTACTTGAGCTCCTTGACCAACAGCTCGAGTAGGGATCTTCTCCACCAAGCTGGGCCTGATACCAAGCCGTAAACTTCCGTAAGAAGGAGGATCAGTTGTTCAGGACTGTATCCTTCGAAGGCTTCGTCGGCTGGCATCTTGCAGGCTAACTTCTGCACTCTTGTAGTTGGTCGAGACTGCAAAAAGGCTGTCTTGGCATCCTTTCCAAAAGCCACCCATTTGCGACTTGCTGCCAGTTGCAAAGCCAGATACATAGATGAAGTCAAAGGTGTAGGCGCGGCACGCTCGATCTGGTGAATGTGCGGGTCCTTCCAACCAACCACACACCAACGAGATTTCGGCGCCAGGCCACTGTGATTCTCCGGGAGGAAGTCGGGTTGCTCGTACTCCTCCGGCAAGACTCCAAATGCATCCGTAGGCTTCCAGCGGTCCACATAGCGGCTGGTGAGCACGTGGTCAGGGTGTTCCTTGGCAAACTTCCGGGACTCCTCGACGCTCAGGATTTGAATGGCTCCCGAGTTCAGCAATGAGGCAACTTCCTTGGCACGAGACTTCCGGAAGATGTTCTTGTACTTCTCTGGCAAGTGTCGAAACTCGACTTGGCCAGGTGATGTCTTTGCCTTGGACTTGGTGAGGTACATGCACTGGTCCCTCTCGTTGTACACGGCTTCAGCTTCCTTGGCGTTGAACTTGGACGTGTCTGGAGGGTTCATGGTATACTTGCCAGTGGGTCGATCCAAAGTCCAGCGTGGTGTCTGGGTAGAGGGTTCTGCAGACACCTCAAAGTACAAGCTGTGTGAAGGTCTCGGCCAGGAAGGTACTCCTTGAGGAGGGCTTGGATAGGGCATCGCAGTAGAGGATGTGGGTGGTCCTTCTCGGATGGGGCCAAAACCAAGCGTTCCTCCACGGCCTTCATCAACTCGGACTCCACTCAATGTCAAGCGTCGGTCCGGAAGTGTGTTCTCCGTACCCATGCGGCTGAAGGGTAGTGAGGCGCCATCTGATGGAGCATGACCCATAGAAGGCTCTGCTGTGCTGATCTCTGAACGTCCATCATCAGCGGCTGGTTGAACTTGATCTTGTGGAACTTCATCCATAGGAGCATCTGGTTCCTCAGCGATGGGAGCTAAAGGCGATGGTTCTGCCTCGAGAGGTGAATCTCCACCGAGTAGCGGCTCTTCCTCCTCTGGACCCAGAGAAGGTGAGTATCCGCCGCCTTCGCTGCCATCGTCTGGAGGACCTTCTCCTTCCACATCTCTGTAGTACTTCACCGCATTGGACTCCAGGTCTTCCAGCATCTGTTCGGACAAGTGCCGAACAAGCTCTGCTCCAAGGCTTTCCTCCGAAGTGGCTCTCCGGGTCTGCGCAATCGCGACCTTCATGAGGAAGCCTCTCATGGAAACCCAGGCGGTTTCACCCTTCAATGCCACAATTGAACCTGGACCGGTCCATCCCTTGAAGCCAGGAACATTCCTCCAAACGTAGACCAATTCCCCGACCTTGAAGTCTTTGGTGTCCGAAGTCCTTGTCCTTGTTGACACGGCTCTGCGGACTGATTCATCATCTTGCCAACGAAGCCATGCTTTGGATGCGGCTTCTCGGATAGCCCATGCACGCTTCATTGAATCGCCAGCTCCTTCCAACATCAGCTGCTTGTCAATGCGGTCGTCGGAAAGAAGCGAAGCGGGCATCCTCGGCAAGGTGCCAAAGGCTCGTTGGTAGGGTGTGAAGCCCGTCCTGTTGTAGAAGCGGTTGTGCGCGGTGACAACCTCCTGGATGGTCAGCTTCAGCTCCTCTTCAGTGGTGGCACCAACTTCATGGAGAGCTCCTTCAAGTCTCGTTTTGAAGATGCCACCGGCGCGCTCGGTGCGCCCGTTCTCCCAAGGACTCCGTGCGTTGATGAAGTGCACCGGCACTCCCATATGTCCCACGTAGTCTGTGAACTGGTGGCCAATGAACTCTCTTCCCTGGTCTGCAACGACCAGTGCAGGTGGGCCATAGTGGGCGATCCAGGCACGGCAGAAGGTCTCCAAGACGGTGCTGGCCTGCTTGTCCTTGACGATCTCCACGATCTGCATGTCGGTTCCCCAACACAAGCAGTTCAGCATCCAATAGTCTCCGATCTCCGGCACGTTGATCTGGATCAGGTCCACACCGACCACCTCGTTGAAGTTCATGGCACGCTGAAGTTTCACAGGGCGGTGCGAAGAGGGTTGTTGCTTCCTTTCACAAAGTGGGCACTTGAAGTGATTCTTGGTCCACTGTAACACCTCGTTCTTGACACCGGCATGCTTCAGGGCTCTCACAAACACTTGTAGTGAAGGATGTCCCAAATTGCGATGGATCTTGAAGAGCTCCCTGCGCATTTCAGGATGAAGGATGTTGTCCGTCGCAGGCTTGCTCAGGTCCAAGGCTCGTAGGGCATGTTTTGCCTTACTTTCTGATGTCTCATCTGGTGCATTCACTCCCAAGTCGTCCAGCATGTTGACGTCGAGGTCATCACCATCCATCCCAGCAAAACGGTTGAACTGGGGGGGTCCAGCAGTGCTTGAAGGCGTAGAAGGCGCGCCTCCCAAAATTCTGTGGGATGGAAACGCTGTTGTCCATTCCATTTGCACGGCTGTCTCCTCGGTGATGTAGGAGTGAATGGGATGTGCAGCTGCTCGAACGATGAAGTTTGCAGCTTCTTGCCAATCGTGTGGGAGTAGAATTGGATCTTGAACAGGAAAGGTTGTGGTTCCTGTCCACAAAGTCGTCATGGTTTGACGGGGCAACGCAGTGGTTCGCCAATTGTCGTTGAAGGTCTGCACCGGGCCCTTGTCGAACTTCATGACTGTAGTGCGACTGGATGAGAGCTTGCTAAGTTCCAGTGGGCAGCCAGCAACACCCGTAGGAGAAAAGAGGGCTCTTCGTGGAACTCGATGATGTCGAATGACCTCCTCGTCCTTCACCTCCCAGTAGTCGGAACTGGAATTGTGAGCCTTCACCCAAGATTGAACATGTTGGCGAAGTCCACGAAGGATCGCATCCACGAAGGCTGGTGTGTATTTTGCGGCCAACGCCGCTTCTCCTGCAAGAAGTGGTTGATGGCTCTTGTGGAACCCCTCACATCTTCGATGTAGGACTATCGCAAGCTCCTCGATGTTGGTAAGCAGAAGCGTCGGCTTCAAAGCTGGGGCTCCTTTGGACGTCTTCAGACCAAATCTGCATAAGTCCACCGCAACTGCGTGGACACCATCTTCTTGTCGTAGTTGTTGCAGTTCTGTGGTCGTCCAAGAGGTAGCGTTCCTCGGATGTTCGAAAAGAAATCCTCGGCCAGCTCGATGTTGGATGCGTGCCAACTGCACGCTGAAGCGGACATGAAGTCTGCCTTCTGCTTCTTCTTGAGCAACTGTGGCTTGGTCACGTTTGAAGTTGCTCAGGTTTCGTAGTGCTGAAAACGTAGTGCAAGGCGGAGAGAGGACCACAAGCACGGGCTGCAACTCGTTGACAAGTCTTAGCGCAGCTTTCTGATGAGAGGGTTTGCAAAAGTCCCATCCAGTTGAAAGGTCCAATGCTCCACCAGCTGTGAAACCATTCTTCTCGGCCTTCTTGGTCACCCTCGGTGGCGAGTAAACCTCGAGGATGTTGGGAGAGTCCCTCAAGCTTTTCACCAGTCTTCTGTTCAAGTCCTTGTTCATCTGGTGCAGCTTGCCTCGGCCGTCAGCTTGTGCGCTTGCAAAATGCTGCGCAAGGTGGCCGTACACGTAGCAGGCCATGTAGTCGCCGTCGAAGTTGTCCGGCTCAGTGAAACCATCTTCAGTCTTTGCGACCTTGAATTCATTGTCGTGGTGCCATGCAATGAGATCGGGGGATCCAAAAGCTGATACTGTAGTGGGCGCCAGGCAGCAGTTCATGCAAAGGAAAACCATGAACTTGGAGAAATGGGTCTTGGGAAGCGACCCCAAAGCCTTGCCGCACTTCCCACCGAGCTGATTCTTGTGCACTAGTCTGCGTGCGGTGGGTCGGCACTCCACTCCTTCTCCTCGTCGCTGATCATGAGAACCTCTGTCGGTCCGAAGGCTTCCTCCAAGTGCTCCATCCTGCCCTCGCGGTCGATGTTGAAGGTCGGCACTCTTTTGGCAGCCTGACTTGCACGTAGTCCCGTCATCTGGCGCTCCTTGGAAGTAGATCGTGCCCGAGCAGTCTCCTGGGAGCTTGTCTTCAACCTCCGAGATGTAGTTGACCCAGTGCCTCCATCCACCATGGAGATCTTTCCCATGTTGGTCACCTTCAGGGTCACTGCTCCTTGGTCGGGCTTCGATCTTGGAGCTGGCAAGAACTGGGGATACGTGCCCTCCAGGGTTTTCAGGCTGTGGGAGTCCGGCGTCTCTGGCACCACCGTGGCTGTCGAGGATGCCGCATGGTCCACATCGAACCTCTCCCAGCGGGATCCGCACGTCAGGCACACCCACCAGCGGTCGAACCGGTTGGCTCTGCAGCGTAGGTACTCTGCAGGGTGGTTGCACTGCTCCGGCTCCTTCTCCCAAAACTTTTGTGCCGTTGACCTTTTCAGAGGCTTGCCAATTCCCTGAGCGATCCACTCGGTTTGGTTCGCCTTGCCCTTGGCTTTGGTCGCCTTCTTGAACTTGTCCCCAACGTTCTCGGTGTCCACCTCGTCGCACACCGCCCCCTTCTTCTGCAGGTAGTCCAGAACCATCTGCGAGCGAGTCGTGTTGATCAGCAGCATCATAGCTTTCACCACGCGAGACCAAGCTGTCTCGCACTTCCGAGTCCCAAGCTTTCGACTCGATTCCTCGCCCCTGTCCTCCTTGGCCATCATGGAGAGGATGGAGGCTTGAAGGCTGCTTGCAGCTGCGCTCGACTGGTTCTTCTTGGGCGCCATTGCAACGTTGCAGACGGTGCAGGAACGTTTGGGCTGCTCTGGAAAATGTCCAGCTCATGAGTTGAGCAATTGGGCTGCGAGTGGAGAGAGGTCTCCTTCTTCTCAAACAATTCTTCAGCATGCTGAGTTGGAAAACCTCACCTGCCTTTGAACTTTCACCACGACTTGACGATTCGACTGCATTGCAATCATGCCGATGTGGTTCATCAACATCACCAGCATCCATCTCACAAATTTCATGCCAATTTCCATCACCATCGGTGGCATCCATCTTGTACTCAATCATCATCAGCTGCGCCGCACTGTTTTGCTGCGCGGAAGCTGCATGTCCACCGTGTTGGTGTGTGTAGTGTCCAGCGCCCCCACCAGAGCTGCCACTTGCGCCGGAAGGTCTTGAAGACGATGAAGTCGAACCAAACCCAGGCGGTGGTCCAGGTGGTGGTCGCGGATATCCACGTGGCTGAGCATCCAGCCAGGTTCCAAAAGGTCGGAACGGGTCGCCCTTCTCATGCGACTCGTAGAAGGTGATGTCGCCATGCCACGGCTTCTCCATGATGCGGTTGATGTTGGTGGGCCAGCAGTCCCTCACCACCCGCGACTCATTCTGCGGAAACTTGGCAACCACCTGTCTGCGTTCCGTCAGGTCATAGCGGCGAGCTTGGGGAACATCGAAGGGATCCAAAATGCGAATCCTCCAGCCCACGTAGGTCGCCAAAAGCTCCTTGTCGCTGTTCGTCTTGATCACCCAGACCTTGGTCTCCACGTTGGGGTCCAGCGCCTGGCCGTCATGCATGACGAACTCGGGGCTGCCCACCTCGTCAAAGGGATCCACAGGTGGATCTGTCTCTTTGGACAAGCTTGATGGGGCCTCTTCTGCGTGCCATTCCTCCTGCGTCTCTGGCAGATTGGCATCTGTTGGTGTAGGTGTTGCAGAAGCTCCTCCACCAGCTCCAGGTTCTTCAGCAGGTTCTGGGGATGTCATGGGAGATGTAGGCGCCGCCGAAGATGCAACATCTGCCGGGGCACCAGCTGCAGTCGTTGTGTCAAAGGTCACACGTCTTGTCGTTGTGGCTCCTGTTCCGGGTCCTTGGTAGTTCTCGTCATTGGCCATGGTGTTGCGTTCCGAAGCATTGGTTCTTGTTGGAGATCTCGACCGATCAGGTCTCGATGCCGCTGATGCCACTGGTGTCGCTGTCAGCTCACCGTTCTCCAAGGGCAAAACCTGCGACTCCAAGTACGTCTGGAAGAAGGTCTCGTCCATGGGGCTTCCAGCATCAGCTTCGCACGAAACGTGCAAATCTCCAAAACCTTCAGCACCATTGCCTCCCGAAAAATAGTGCGAGGAACGAGGAACAGGAAGTCGGAAAGGATCGTGGCCGCGAACTTGATGTTGTAGTGGCAGTTTCCAGGGCGTGGTGTCGAAGTCCAGCATGTGGATGGCCCGATGGCCAGAAGACAACCTTCGCATGTTGGCAGTGTGGCCATCCGGAGTGCTGTAGTGGTTGGTGCTCAAGTCAATGATGGCTCCAACCGCCTCCAAATAGGAAACTCCAAGCAGAGGTGGCGTCACGAAGCTGAGGGTGTCCGTGATGACAGTGAAGCGCAGCACACCCAACAGGCCAGCGATGCATGTTGGAACATCGTAGAGTCCCTGCAGTTTGGCACGACCTCCAATGCCGGCACATGGAACTGCAGGCTGCCTGATGGGCACCACTCGAAGGTTGAGCAAGGCCAGCTCTTCCTGAAGGCTTGCAAAGGCCTTACTGCCGATGATGCATTGCTCGGCTGCGGTGTCGATCACGGCCTCGAATCCACGGACTTGCACACCTGCATATACTGCACGAAGTAGAGCTTCTTCCTTTGGAGGATACTGGCACTCGTGCTTGAAGACCGCATAGGACGTTGTCGTGCTATGGCCGGTTGGAGTCACGGCCACAAAGGTCTTCTTCGGAGTTGCTGTCGTCGTTGTAGATCGATGCGGACAGTTCCTACTGACGTGTCCCAACTCCTGGCACGAAAAGCACCTGGTGCGTGCCAGCAGCTCTGACTCCGTTCCCCTGATGTAGGGCTCGTCCTTCTGCTGCTTGCCAGTCGACCTTTTTCGGTCTCCCTTTTTCCCACGGCCCTTGCCACGGCCTTTCTTTGGGCTGCTCGATCCCGAAGGCGATCGTCGGCCATGCTTGACGAAGCCACGCTCTTTGCGGCGGGATCTCAAGTCCTTTCTCACATCGTTGTAGGCCTGGACATACACCGCCTCCATCTCGTCGTACTCCTTGTCTTCGAACTGGATGAAGTCGCTATCTTCGTCTCCAGTTTCTGTTTCCTCTTCCGCCTCCTCATCATAGCCTTCTTCCTCCTCGCTGTTGTCTCCATTGGCTTGCAAGTAGACCTTGCCTGTCGTTCCAGACGTCAAGGCACCCGCCTTTGCTAAGGTGTCCAACCTGTCCAGCGGCTGTAAGGTCTTGGCAACCTCGTCATAGGAGAGCAAGGTGTGGTTCTTCAGGGCCACAAGTTGTTGTTGATGTTCGGTCAGGCCAGCTTGTCGAAGAAGCACACGTCCAGCGATTAAAGGATGAACTTCAGCACCTATCTGCGACTCCAGCTCCTGCTTCTGGGTGGACCTGCGGCTCAAGTAGGCGTTGAAGGTTTCCCTCGGAGCTCTCTCACCTGAGTACAGGAACGTGTCGATGGAGAGCGGGCCAACAGCGTCCAAGTAGGGCTGGAACTTCTGCATCAGCGAAGTCAGCACAGCGCTGTAGCCATCCGAGGTGAGCAAGACCTCCGTGCTGACCGTCTCGGCGATCTTGCGAGCCTCTCCAGAAAGGGACTGGAAAAGTCGCACACCCCACTTCTCCTTGGGCAGGTTCGACTCCGTCTCCCAAAAGGACAGTTGTTGCAGCCAACCACGTAGTCCAGATGGGGTCCCGTCCCAAGTTGGAATGGGTAGCTTGCGATCGCCAGAGACCGCATCAACGAGCTTCGCCAGCAGTTGCTCGTTCGTCACATTGGCACCATGAGGTGTTGTCGACGAAGGCGTCGTCTTGCCCATAGCTTCGAAGGCCGAAGTCACCGGCTTGAAGCCTGGCCGCTCCTCCCGAAGTCTTTGGCTGAACTCCTTGGCATTGGTCACGGTCTCGGTGGGTCGGTAGTTGCTCCAAGGGTCACCAGGCTGTGCACGTGGTCCAAGCCTATCAGGGCTGCCGGCGACCGGAGGCGTCATGCCTGCCAGTGGAGAACTGCCACCCGAGCCAGCGCCAGGAGCATGCAAGTTCTGCCCAAAGCCGGGCATTCCATTGGGAGCTTGTTGGAAAACTGCAGAAGGAACTTGATGAGGTTGAGGTCCAGGGCCACATCCACCAGGAAGACCGTGAGGAAGATCCGCACAAGGTCGAGGTACGTTATAAGCACTGCTCATGGGAGCTCGATGAGGTAGATCAGGTTGTAGTGACGTCATCATCGGATGCGGAAATCCAGGACCATGCACTGAGCCATACGGTGCAAAGGGCATTCCGCATCCAGCCATTCCCATGCCATTGAATGCTTGCTGTTGTGCAGTGCCAGGTACTGGAACTGGGCCTCGAAGTCCTCCAGGAGGTAAAGCACCTTGTGGGGGAGCTGTGCCATATAGTCCAGGGCATCCTCCACCAGGCATGTGGCTCCAAACTGAGGCTGGTGGTCCAAACCATACGTTCGGTATTGGGCTCATGTTGGGTTCCATGGGGTTCCCACATCCGGTTGGCATCGCGGTCGCGCCACCAGGTGTTTCTGATGGGCCATCCAGTGCACCACCATCATCTTGAGGTTCACCAGCTGCTGGTGTAGTGGAGCTTGTGGCATCATTCGCTCCATAGTAGCTGCTGGTCACACCGGTGCTCTGTTGGTGCCCTTCGGTTGTAGGATCCCATGTTTCGTCCGCGGCGTCGTCCCACTCAGTGTTATTGTCTGCAGCCGGCTCTGGTCCATGTTCTTGTCCCCCTCGCCCAGCTGCGGCACCACGTCCACGAGGTCGAAAACGGCGTCGCGGCGCTCCTCCTGACATTGCGTCAGGCTAAGGCTGCCGGCCGTAGCCGGCTCCGCTACCACTGTTTTAGTGGTGTGTCCTAGGGGCAAACGCGGCACCCTTTTGCGCACCTGAGCCTAGCTCAAGGCCTGCGAAGACCCAAGGTTAGATTCCAACACTCTACAGTGAGATTGTCACAGAAGTCTGTACAAGCCAAAGATATCTAGACATATCTAAGCTGATCATAAACTGCTAAGGTTGGAGCCTTTTGATTCGGGTAAATCACCACCTTGCAGCGATGGAAGTCTTGACTTGCTCCGAATTACCAGTCGCACTCTGCCTCGCCAGGGTTCAGCACCACCACATCGGGCAAGCAGTAGACCAACTCTCGGCAATCCGTGAAGCCGTGGAAGGTCACAGACCTGCAGGTCCAAGCTACAACCATAGTGGTGGTGATATATCCCATTGTCTCTTCATTCTGGTTGAGTAAAACCATGTAAAACCCCTTCTGTTGGGTGAATCCCATTCAAAGGAACAAAAAAAACACAGTGCAAGTGCAACTCGCAGTGTCTTTGCATGTCTCTGTCACATAATTGTTTTGCAGGTGGTAAGTGTTCTTCGGTTCAACAGAGGTTCTGAGCTGCTGAGCCCTGAAATGGGTGTCTCTGAAATCTGAAATTTGCTGTAACCAACAAAAATGGTGAACATTGTAGATTTAACCTGCAACCATTGAATTTATCATGAATTGATCTATGAAATTCTCTGTTGGATGGGATTTAACATGATGTAACCAACGCATCCAACAAGAACTGGCTGGGTTCACCCATTAGGGGATCCACTGGGAACAGCATGGCGCACCCCACAGCATGGCGCATCACAGTGAGGTCTTCCACCTTCGCAAGCTCGGCCTGCAGAAACTGGTGCCATGCTTTGTTAGTGCCAGATATCATCGGATTTAATGGGACTTAACTAACCAAAATAAGGAATTTAATGAGGATTAATGGGATATATCATCATCTTTTCAATCTTTTCATATATGACACCTTCAAGTTACATGCTGTAAATGGTTTATGGCCATGAGTCATCCATGTCATGGAAATCACCATGGCTAGCATTCTGCCACTGAGCATGTGTCAAGAATCGAAAAAACAAGGTGGGCCAGAGAACCCAAAAGCAAGACGGCACACAGCACGCCTTTTCTTGAAAATCTTGGGGTGTGGCCAGCTGTGCTCTGCACGAAATCGACGTAAGATCTTTACTTAAACATCGTGCGCACTGATGGTATCAGGGGCCACGATTCACCACAGCATGCTGTGTCAGCTACGCCTACAGTCTTCTAGTCGCTATTTCTGTTAATGTAATTAACTCTATCCCATCTGTCTAGTCGCTATCTATTTCTGCGTTCTCGTTTAGTTTGCTTCGCCGCAGAGGGAGCGAGCACGAAGCGTGGACGGACAGAACGAAATGAAAATTAAACGACAGAGGGAGCTGACCAAAAGAGCATGAAAACGAAGATATATATGAAGGTGACAGATGGCAAATGATCATGAAAAATGAGACATGATAAAAGATGGGTAAAGACTTCTCTGTACAAAAGCTTCTTTGCATAAAAGCTTCTGCAAGTAAAAGCTTCTGTGGGCAAGAACTTCTCTGTGTAAAGGTTTTTGGTGTAAAAGCTCTTGTGTGTAAAATCTTCTGTGTAAAACGCGCTCTGTGTGTAAAAGTTTCTGTTTGCGAAAGTTTCTTTGCGTACCAGCTTCTGTCTGTAAAAGCTTCTCTGTGTTAAGGTTTTGTTTGTGTAAAGCTTCTGTGTGCAAAAGCTTCTCTGTGTAAAAGACTTCTCTGTGTCAAAGCCTCTGAGTGTACAAGCTTCTCTGTGTAAAAGTTCCTCTGTGTAAAAGCTCCTCTGTGAAAAAGCCGCTCTGTGTAAAAGGCTTCTGTGTGTAAAAGCCTCTGTGTGTGCAAGCTTCTCTGTGTCAAGACTTCTTTGTGTAAAGATTTCTCTGTGTAAAAACTACTCTGTGTAAACGCTTCCGTGTAAACTCTTTCCTGTGTAAACGCCTCCGTGTGTAAAGACTTCTCTGTGTAAACCCGTCTGTGTGTAAAAGCTCCTTTGTTTAAAGGTTTTTTTGTGTTAAAAGCTTCTGTGTGTAAAACCTTCTGTGTGTAAAAGTTTCTGTGTGTAAAAGCTTCTGTGTGTAAAGGTTTCTGTGTGTAAAAGCTTCTGTGTATTAAAAAAACCTTATGTAAAAGCTTCTGTGTAAAAAAGCCCCCTGTGTGTACAAGCTTCGCTGCGTAAAAGCTGCTCTGTGTAAAAAATCTGTGCGCCGTAAAGTTGTCTGTTTGTAAAACCTCCTGTGTGTGTGTGAAAGCGTCTGTGTGTACAAGATTCTGTGTGCAAAAGCTCCTCTGTGCAAAGACTTCTCTGTGTACAAAGCTTCTGTGTGTGAAAGTTTCTGTGTGTAAAAGCTTTCCTGTGTAAAAGTTTTCTTGTGCAAAAGCTCCTGTGTGAAAAACTTCTCTGTGTAAAGGCTTTTTTGTGTAAAAGCTTCTGTGTGTACAAGCTGCTCTGTGTTAAAGTTTCTGTGCGCCGAAAGAACGTCTATCTGTAACACCTTCTGCGTGTAAATCTCGTTTGTGTAAGGACTTCTATCGTAAAAGCTCCTCTGTGTCAAGACTTCTTTGTGCGAAAGGCTTCTCTCTGTAAAAGCCTTTGTGTGTACAGGCTTCTCTGTCTCAAGACTTCTCTGTGTAAAGACTTCTGTGTGTAAAAGCTACTCTGTGCAAAAAAGCTTCTGTGCGTAAAGGCTTCTGTGTCAAGACTCCTCTGTGTCTCTGTAAACGCGTCTGTGTGTCAAAGTTTCTGTGTAAAGGCTTTTTTTGTGTAAAAGCTTCTCTGTGCATGTCCCATTTTTCAGCCTTTGCAAACCGTTTGACCGGTCTTGGGACCATTTGACCAGTCTTGGGTCCACAATTTTTTCAGGCCAATCGCAATGATGGCATTTGTCCTGAAAAAACCCGTGCCAACAGCTCTGCCGCAAACTATTTTCAAGGTTTCCTATCCGTCCAGCATGTTGTCTCGCTCCCTCCAGCGAAGCTCTCCGCAAGCTATTTCCACGGTTTTGTCCCGTCCAGCATGCTGTCTCGCTCCCTCCCAGCAAGGCTCTCCGCAAGCTATTTCCACGGTTTCCTCTCCGTCCAGCACGCTGTCTCGCTCCCTTCCAGCGAAGCTCTCCGCTAGCTATTTCCACGGTTTCCTGTCCATCCAGCATGCTGTCTCCCTCCCTCCCAGCGACGCTCTCCGCAACCTATTTGCACGGTTTCCTCTCCGTCCAGCACGCTGTCTCGCTCCCGCCCAGCGAAGCTCTCCGCAAGCTATTTGCACGGTTTCCTCTCCGTCCAGCATGCTATCTCGCTTCCTCCCGGCGAAGCTCTCCGCAACCTATTTGCACGGTTTCCTCTCCGTCCAGCATGCTGTCTCGCTCCCTCCAAGCGAAGCTCTCCTTAACCTATTTCCACGGTTTCCTCTCCGTCCAGGATGCTGTCTCGCTCCCTCCCAGCAAAGCTTTCCGCAACCTATTTGCACGGTTTTCTCTCCGTCCAGCATGCTGTCTCGCTCCCTCCCAGCGAAGCTTTCCGCAAGCTGTCTCGCTCCCTCCCAGCTCAGCAAGCTATTTCCACGGTTTCCTATCCGTCCAGCATGTTATCTCGCTCCCTCCCAGCGAAACTCTCCGCAAGCTATTTTCACACTTTCCTCCGTGCAGCATGCTGTCTCCCTCTCTCCCAGTGAAGCTCTCCGCAACCTATTTGCACGGTTTCTTCTCCGTCCAACATGCTGTCTCGCTCCCTCCCAGCGGACTTTCCCCAAGCTATTTCCACGGTTTTCTCTCCGTCCAGCATGCTGTCTCGCTCCCTCCCAGTGGAGCTCTCCGCAAGCTATTTTCACGGTTTCCTCTCCGTCCAGCATGCTGTCTCGCTCCCTCCCAGCGAAGCTCTCCGCAAGCTATTTGGACGGTTTCCTCTCCGTCCAGCATGCTATCTCGCTTCCTCCCAGCGAAGCTCTCCGAAACTATTTCCACGGTTTCCCATCCGTCCAGTTGTCTCGTTCCCTTCCAGCGAAGCTCCCCGCAAGATATTTGCACGGTTTCCTCTCCGTCCAGCATGCTGTCTCATCCTCTCGCGCTTCCTCCCAGCAAAGCTCTCCGCAAGCTATTTCCACAGTTTTCGTCTCCGTGCAGCATGCTGTCTTGCTCCCTCCCAGCGAAGTTTCCTCAAGCTATTTCCACGGCATCATCCCGTCCAGCATGCTGTCTCGCTCCCTTCAAGCGCAACTTTCCGCAAGCTATTTGCCCGCTTTCTTCTCCGTCCAGCATGCTGTCTCGCTCCCTCCCACCGAAGTTTCCCCAAGCTATTTCCACGGTTTTGTCCCGTCCAGCATGCTGTCGCGCTTCCTCCCAGCACAGCTTTCCGTCCAGCATGCTGTCTCGCTCCCATCCAGCGCAGTTTCCCCGAGCTATTTTCCACGGTTTTGTCCCGTCCAGCATGCTGTCTCGCTCCCTCCCCGCGCAGTTTCCCGAAGCTATTTCCACGGTTTTGTCCCGTCCAGCATCCGGTCTCGCTCCCTCCCAGCGAAGTTTCCCCAAACTATTTTCCACGGTTTTGTCCCGTCCAGCATGCTGTCTCGCTCCCTCCCAGCGAAGTTTGCCCAAGCTATTTCCACGGCTTCATCCCGTCGAGCATCCGGTCTCGCTCCCTCCCAGCGAAGTTTCCCCAAGCTATTTCCACGGCTTCATCCCGTCCAGCATCTAGTCTCGCTCCTTCCCAGCGAATCCCGTCCAGCATCCGGTCTCGCTACCTCCCAGCGCAGTTTCCCCAAGCTATTTCCACGGCTTCATCCCGTCGAGCATCCGGTCTCGCTCCCTCCCAGCGAAGTTTCCCCCAGCTATTTCCACGGCTTCATCCCGTCGAGCATCCGGTCTCGCTCCCTCCCAGCGCAGTTTCCCCAAGCTATTTCCACGGCTTCATCCCGTCCAGCATCCGGTCTCGTTCCCTCCCAGCGAAGTTTCCCCAAGCTATTTCCACGGCTTCATCCCGCCGAGCATCCGGTCTCGCTCCCTCCCAGCGAAGTTTCCCCAAGCTATTTCCACGGCTTCATCCCGTCCAGCATCCGGTCTCGCTCCTTCCCAGTGCAGTTTCCCCAAGCTATTTGCACGGCTTCATCCGTCCAGCATCCGGTCTCGCTCCCTCCCAGCGAAGTTTCCCCAAGCTATTTCCACGGCTTCATCCCGTCCAGCATCCGGTCTCGCTCCTTCCCAGCGCAGTTTCCTCAAGCTATTTCCACGGCTTCATCCCGTCCAGCATCCGGTCTCGCTCCCAAAAAAGGCTCCGCGAGAAGTTTTTCCCCAAGCTATTTCCACGGCTTCATCCCGTCGAGCATCCGGTCTCGCTCCCTCCCAGCGAAGTTTCCCCAAGCTATTTCCCCAAGCTATTTCCACGGCTTCATCCCGTCGAGCATCCTGTCTCGCTCCCTCCCAGCGAATTTCCCCAAGCTATTTCACCATCCGGTCTCGCTCCCTCCCAGCGAAGTTTCCCCAAGCTATTTCCACGGCTTCATCCCGTCGAGCATCCGGTCTCGCTCCCTCCCAGCGAAGTTTCCCCCAGCTATTTCCACGGCTTCATCCCGTCCAGCATCCGGTCTCGCTCCGTCCCAGCGAAGTTGCCCCAAGCTATTTCCACGGCTTCATCCCGTCGAGCATCCGGTCTCGCTCCCTCCCAGCGAAGTTTCCCCAAGCTATTTCCCCAAGCTATTTCCACGGCTTCATCCCGTCGAGCATCCGGTCTCGCTCCCTCCCAGCGCAGTTTCCCCAAGCTATCACGGCTTCATCCCGTCCAGCATCTGGTCTCGCTCCCTCCCGGCACAGTTTCCCCAAGCTATTTCCACGGCTTCATCCCCGTCGAGCATCCGGTCTCGCTCCCTCCCAGCGAAGTTTCCCCAAGCGATTTCCATGGCTTCATCCCGTCGAGCATCCGGTCTCGCTCTTCCTTCCTTTTCCTTCCTTCCTTTTCCTTCCTTCCTTTTCCTTCCTTCCTTTTCCTTCCTACCTTTTCCTTCCTTCCTTTTCCTTCCTTCCTTTTCCTTCCTTCCTTTTCCTTCCTTCCTTTTCCTTCCTTCCTTTTCCTTCCTTCCTTTTCCTTCCTTCCTTTTTCTTCCTTCCTTTTCCTTCCTTCCTTTTCCTTCCTTCCTTTTCCTTCCTTCCTTTTCCTTCCTTCCTTCCTTCCTCCTTTCCTTCCTTCCTTCCTTCCTTCCTTCCTTCCTTCCATCCAACACATCTCCGTCGACCACTCAGTCTCGCTCCCCCGCGGCGAGTGCAACTAAACGAGAACCCAAGCATCGGAGATGCTTTTGGGAATAAAACTGGCTGGGGAGCAAACCATGCAACCCAGGGTTCTGCATACCATCGTTCATCCTGAAACTGCAAATGATTGCAAATGTAATACAATGATTGAAACAAGTTCAGGAATTGTCTTCCTCAAAAAAGAACAGCCACATGTTTTCGGTTGATTCTTTGTCGAACAGTGCGGTATGGCGAATCAAGCCTTGAATTGTCACCGTTGTAACCTGGCAGTGTCAAGGTGCAGTTTGTTTTGGAATGTTTTGGAATAGTACAGCTACCATCAGCTACCAACATCATACTACCGATTTTCAACTCTTCGGCTGGTGAAACAGTGTAAGTGATGTCGTATGCGCGGACCAAGTCACACGCGCAAATTTGTGGGTGCACCGGGCATCAGTCGATTCTTTTACAACAGGAGGTTGATTCCAACACAAGCAGTAACAGAAAAATCAACACATATTATCAACAATGAAAAACATCCAAATGTGACATTGCCTTGCCTTCGAAGGTGGGGTGCGTGTACGCAACCTGCCAGCAATTTGGGAAACCTTTCCTTCAGCGACCATATGCAAATTGAGTATAAAACCATATTGACATATTGGAGCGCCGGAAAGCCTCATGGCCAACTGTCTCTTGCGTGGACCGTAGATGGTTGCCAACTACGGTGATTGAACCTCGTCTTGCTCTTTTGCTGCTAAAGCGTACGTCCCTTTTCCATAATTGCGCGCACTCTTAATGTTGCGCTACAAATGAGGTGGGGGGGCCAACAACACTCACCTGAACTTGTGCACTCAGCTGCTGCTACACTACAAACAGAACGGGTGAGGTGCCATCCATGCGGACTTGTGATGGCTTGAGAAGGGGGGACAAAAAGATCAAAAAGTAGGTTTGGGCGTGTAGCTGAGCGTGATACTATCCTGGGGCGAAACTACCTAGTCCAATCAGGATTCAAAATCATTCAAACATATTCAAATTCATTTGACCAATCCCCACCTCTAAAAGAGTCTAAAAGCGAAAGCTATTTATCGATCTGCATGCTTGATCAGTCGTACAAAACGAGAAACAATGCAGTGTACAAGAACAGAGCCAGTCAAGAATCTCATCATTTCATCCAGAATCCAGGCAAACTTGCAAGTTTGCCCCGCAAGCCACAGTCAAGGAAGAAGAACCCAACACGCCGGACCAATCTACCACATGAATTTCACGCAACACTCATACACAAGCAGTGCTCACGCAGGGATTTCCAGACAAGAACCAAAACTGACTTGAGCCAAGCTCGAGTGAATTCGCCCGAACGATGAGCAGAATGAGACAATGCCGTACAACAAAAAACAAACAGCCAAGAAAACATAAGAACATGCAAGTGTGCCTGGATAAATGTCTGACAACCCCAAGCCGCCAGCCAATCACCCAATAAGCGCAACAAGTCATCAAATTGAGACTTGAGAGGACTTACACATCGCGAACCCCGCTCACGTGTGGATCTGGTGGGAGTGGAAGGCCTCCCCCCCGGTAGAGTATCTTTGCGCTTTTGCTCCAGATCAGTGACAGTTTCCAGGCCACCAGAAAAAAAATACTAAAGTATGTGAAACTCAGTTAACCTAGGCGACCTGTCGTGAAAAGACTGGAGGCCCATGGTTCTGAGCGAGAACACGCTGTGGTGGAAACAACAGTGGGAAGATGTTGGGCGTGGGTGGCTACATTCTTTCACGCAAAGAGGACGTGGGAATAAAACAACACAAAGAGAAGAAACACGGGCCGGGGCATGCGGCACGCGCCCAACTTCCACTGGGGCAAGGCTGGGTGAGACCATGAATGAAACGCTGTTCCAGAAGAGCTGCAGGTTATATTGCATGCAAGTCAAAGGTTGAAATAATGCAACGATCAAAACTCGGTGGTGCTGGCTCTTGCTATGATCTTGTTATTGTAGCTGCTTCATGTATGGTATCTCAGGCATGCAATGGTATGATTTCGCTGTTGCACATCTACCTATCAACCTATCTATCTGCCCACCTTTCTATCCCTACTCAGGTACCTATCATGTCCAACGAATCCTGGATGGGTGGAATGGCCTTCATCCGTTTCATGTTGCATTGAGTCATCAATGCAAGTTGCATGGCCTCGACAACGTGAATGCATCCACAACACAACAAGATCGGCGAATGCGAAACGTCGTCAACTCTTTGCAAGAGAGATGAGGATTTCGTGATCACTCCCTGACATCCTGGAAATCAATCTCGCGTGGTTTCGAAAAACACATATACAGATACAACGGATACATAGGTAGTTTATGGTACAAGTAGTGTGGCATTTCCTCAAGCCATTCTCAAGTAGCAGACCCAAGGACGCCGTTCTTCTTCCAAATCATCATACCAGTCGAAAGCCAAGTAGGCAGCAACACCTTTGTTTTTGAGCTCAAGCGGCATCATATGAAGCATACTTTGCCATGCAGTTTATGCTAGCATCCACTTTTGACATGTGTTCTTCTATCGCTTGGGTCCACCGCTTTCAAGGACCAGATCAACTTGCACATGTTGAGATGTGTTGCAGGAAAGCGTGAAACCCCTGAACGTTCAAGAGCCTTTCATAAAGATTTGGCACCTGGAAGTTTTTGCGACTTTGCCAGCTTTGGAACAGAAAATTACTCGCCAGTACTCACCCCAACTTGGTTTTAATATGTTTTAATACTATATTTCCTGCCTTCCCCCAGCATCACTTGGACGACACCAAAGCCTAAGAGAAACTCTGGCGGTGTAGCAGCGCTGCCGTGGAGGTTAAAGAAGGTCATGGAGATGGAAACCGAGCACTTCATTCATAGCTAAACAAAATGTATCAAAATATGTTCTAAACTAAACACGCTTTCCTACCTGCCTGCATACATACCATGCCATGCCGTGCCATGCCTTGCAGAATGACAAGTAATTCCAGAATGAACTGGTGCCAGTCAATGCTGGTCTGTTATTTCTGTGATCAACCTTCTGTGAAGCCATGACACTGTTGGTTTCCGAGAAAGTGCCACTTGAAGAGTAGAGGCCTGCCCTTGGCTGCTTGGATGTACATTCACAAGTGTGCGCATATGTTGACGTAAATTCAGGTGTGATGGTGTGACCCTCATTTGTGCTGTGACAGCACGGAAAAAAGAGGCCAGGCCAATATGATTCTTGTGCTGCAACACTTTGGACGTCAGGAACAGTTTAGCTGTGGACCTGTTGGATCTAGACTTGATCCCAAGGCAGCCTGATGTTCACCAAAATTTCAGGCAGCCAAAGCTCACTCCAACATCGTGGTCGAATGTCGATGTGGTCATTGCTGAAAGCCTCACCTGAGTCAAAGCAAGTGAAGAACTCTTCAACACCAGAAGAATATACAGCCACTTAGATTTACCATGATTTACCTGATGAATCCTGATGACATGTTTCAAGTTCTTCTCAGTGCTCCAGCGCTGCAGTGCAGAAAGCACCTCACTCCTCGCCACTTCCACGGGAACTTCCGCCGAGTTGCAGAATGCATTGCGTTCAGGACTGGGAGCTCCCTCCTAAGTCGAAAAAGTCGAATACCGCTGCAAATGCTGCAAGCATCTGCAAGATTCTGCAAGCACTGCTGGTCCATGCCACGAGAATATACGAGAACCCTATCCGCTGACACCCTGCGCAAGTCCAAGGTCCATTAGAAATGCGATCAAGAATCAACCACTGGTTTGCGCATTCCTGCAATTCTTGCTTGAAGTCCGCACTTGCCCGACTTTTCCCAGTCTGATGTTCAAAGCTCTGCAAGTGCTGTACCTGCCAGCTGCATCCAGAATTCCACTTCACCACTTGACACAGAGGGTCATTTAAAATCTTTCTAAGTGGCGAAGAGGAAGTGTGGCTGTGGCTCCACGAATTGTTTGAGGTACAATTCTTTGCAGTTCTCAGCTTGTGGTAAACACAGAAGCTATATTGCAGGCACTTTTGCTATCTTTTACTTACTGTTTGAGCTTCAGATTTGGGTTTTGTTCATTTCTGCTCTGTTGCTAGATACCGGATTCATCCGGATTCTATGACTGCTACATGTAGCTGGTCCACCGGTCCACCGCGGCTGTTGACTGTGGACAAAAGATGCTCTTTTTTTGTTGTCAGATGTTGTCAGTATGTGTGGTTAGGGTGCCCAGAGGGACAAGAAAATGCCACCGAGGCGATACAAGTTGACTTGCACTACCTTGCACTATTTATCTAATTTGATTCTGGTCCTTTAAAGCCTTCGGGACAATCCTGACATCTAATGACATCTACATATGAAATTTATAAACCTGGCTTAGAGTAAAGCAAGAAAGAAGGACGAACGCTGTGCTCGTGGCTCCTGCAAAACCATTTGCTACCTTTGAAACATTTCGATGAATGCGAGGAAATCTAATCTAGGTCGATCGCGGGGCAACAGATCGCACCAAATCTGATTGAAAGATATCGAAAGGATTGGAGCAACATGGAGCAACAATGTGCAAGGCCAATCGATTCGTAGATGCCACGAGGCAGGGCCGGGGCGAAACAGAATGGGAGGCCAGTTGTGGCGTGACCCCCAAGTTTTCTTTGGCAAGAAATAGTACATACTATTACATACATGTACATACATGTACATACATGTACATACGCAGTATATGCAGTAGATCGTCTGATGTCATTCCATTGATTTTCCCTGAGCCAAATGGTGGCACTATGCTGCTCGCGGAAGCGCACATTGCCGGAATGCCCATGCTGCACTTCCAAGCCAAAAACATCATTGAGAATTTCACGGTTGTTGTGGCCTCAACAGTTGCAACTCCGATTGCAGGGGATGCTGGGAAAACCATGAGATTGGAAGCCAGCCTCTGAAACTGGCAAAT